TGAACCACCTCAGACCTTTCCCCCCAGCCTCTCCAGCCTCAGCACATCAGCTTCCTCAGAGCCATGTGACCTCTTAACAAGGCCAAAGGTCAGCCAGGGGCAGCAGGCTCCTAGGACCCCAAAACTTCAGCATCCACAAAAGAATCAGACCAAGATGTCTGGCCCTCCTGAGAAGAGTAAGGACTGTAGGAGGCTCAGGCCAGGAGGACAGGAACAGAGACTGGCAGGACCTCAGCGCCCCCAGGCCAGTGGGGCGAGTCACCCTGCACGGGGCAGGCAGGTAGAAGAGCTTCAGAGAAGCAAGCCCTCACCAGCACTGCTGCAGAGAGGGCAGGGTCCTGCAGAAAGCTGCTTGGGGAGCAGGATAAAGCAGTTTCTGCAGAAAGTTTTCCCAGATAAAGACACGAAGAAGGAAAAGCCCTCGCAGAAAGGCACACCAGTATCAGCCCCTCCCTGGGGTCAGGGGTCAGTCTCAGGTATGCGGTTTATAGAGAAAGAGGTGCCTACTGCCCATGTGCTCATAGCTGCCATTGACCGGATCCTGGGGGAGAAGCTACTGAGTTATACCTCAAAGGTGAATTTTCATAGAGAGGAACTCCAGGCTCCTGGAGGTGGGTATTCCTGCTACCAGAGGGGCCCCTCCTACCCTGAGCAAGAAAGAGTGATGGGTGCTTCAGGCTATAGTCACCAAGCCACCCCCCGGGGCCACAGCAGTCCCATCAAAAGCAAGTGGATGAGAGATAGGGACAATTGGCCCTCTTCAGCCAGGCAGCCTGTGCCCCCAGTCAGGCCCCAGCAGCACAGGCCATGGGGGGCAGCAGGCATGGGCTGCCCTGCCCACTGTCCTAGGCACTATCTCCCGCCTCAAAGGGTCTCATGTGGCCCACTGGAGCAGCAGCCTCACGCCCTCCCAGCTGGGGTAAAGCACTTGCCCAGGTAACCGCAGCTCTGTCTCATGTGGGCACAGCCTATATGCCAAGGCTCACCCCACCCAAACATGCCTCGATTCCTAATATACACATTTGCTCCTTGGAGGAGGTGGCTTCTGTCTGTGCTGCTCATTGCGTTGGGAAGGGTGATCACCCCAGATGGCAGCATCCACTCTTCCTGAGTGCAGCATGGGAAAGGGATAACACATGGAGGGAGGTTGCTAATGACTCTGCAGATGAGCTCTCAGTGCTTGAGATCCTCTCAGTCACTGTAGAAACTAAAGAGCCCCCAGGGTGTGTGGGAGTGAACAGCCTCTAGAAGATCCCACCTCAGGCTCTGACTCCACCTGTCCCTCCTCCTCGAAACTTACCGCAGGTGTGAGTTGGGGCATTTACTGAGGCATCAGAGGCAGAACCTCCCCTGGCCTCCAGCAGGTGTCCCTGTCAAGTAGCCTCACTGTCACAAAGAGGGTTGCGAAAGTTTGTGGTGTATGGGGCTGGTCCTGAGTTCAGAGTAGGAGAAACCTTGCCCCTGGGTCTCCTGGAGGGGCACAGATGCACCTGCTGTGGGGAGCCCTTTCTCTCCCAGATGAAGGGGGAATGGAGCAGGCTTTGCTAAGCCCTCCCAGCTGTCTGCATGGCAGGCCGACCCCTCCCAGGCCTTCCTCCCTCTGGAACAACAACTATGGGGGACCTGCAGCTCTGCTGTGTGTGGGGGGAGAAGCAAACAGCTGCAGAGGGGCCATCCACCCGCCCAAGGTCCCTGCCTTCCCCTCTGGCGCACTGTGTTGCAGTCACCATGTGAAAGTGGCCCGAGAGCACTAGGATGGATATGGGGGAAGCAGGATTGAAAAGGTTGGAGTCCAAAAAGGAGGTGCCAAAAGGGTGCAGTGGAGGAAGCCCCTGATGTCTGCCTCCACAGCCTCGGGGGGAGGAGACCTTGGGGCCAGAGGCTCATTTTGACCACACATGGCCACCACCCCTATCTCCCCCCACTCCCCAGATCTCAAAGCTAGAGGAACCCTTTAACTGGAGGAGCAGAGCCTGCCGGTGGGAGGACAGGTCTCCTGACAGTGCAGGTGATCAACTTCAAGCGTGGCCTGATGATCCAGAAGAGGAGTGGGCAGAGGGGAAAACCAGGACAGGAAACTTGAGTGCTGCACAGGTGCTGGAGCATGCAATCCAGGACTTCAAGGCCCAGGGCCTGGCCCAGGGTCACATGGACTCTTCTGGCTCCTTGCCCTTGCTTGCCTCAGAGACCTGCAGGGAAGATGCAACCAGACAGGGTTTGTACACACAGATGACCCGATCAAAATGAAAGGGGCCAGTCAGTGGTATAGTGTCCCTGTTCCCTCATTTGGCTTCTGGCACTGGTCCCTCTGCTAAAGCCCCATCCACATGGGAAAGCAGGAGGCTCCACAGCAGGCAGAAGAGGACCCATTCAGGGGTCTGTCTCTAAGCTAGGCCTTACAGTGGAGCAGAGGACAGGCCCCGGCCCTGGCCAGCTCCAGCTGCCATAGCCTTCCCTTGTAGCCAAGGCCCCATCCAGGCGCAATGTCCCAGGCAGCCCCAGGGTGGGCCACACAAAGCCAGGGCTGCTGGAGGAACTGGGTTGTGGGCAGAGAGTGACTGATCCCTTGGAGTAGGGCACTGAAGTTGGCCCTGAGCTGGCTGCTGGGCTGGGTCTCCCAGGGCACTGAAGGGCGGACCTCAGGCTGGGCAGGAGCTAGACCTGCACCCAGGCTCTGGGGAGAAGGACAAGGATGGGGACACCAGGGAGCAGCAGACCCAGGAAGAGCAGGTCCCTGTGCTGCCCAACCCTGTCCCCATGAGGGGCACAGAAGCCAGCAATGAAGACTCCAAGAGACTTCCATAGAAACCCACACCCAGACACTCCCCAAAAGGTAACTACAGAGACCATACTCAGAGACATCCACAGAGACCCACACTCAGGTAACCCCAGAAACATCTACACATACCCTTGCCCAGAGACTCAGATACTTCTACAGTGACCTCTACCCAGAGACCTCTGCAGAGACCAACACTCAGAAAATGAGAGCATTCCAGAGACCCGCACCTAGAGATGCCCCTAGAGGTGTCTGCAGAGACCTCCACAGAGACCCACACCCAGACAACCCCACCCACATCTACAGAAGCCCAGGCCAAGAGACCCACAGAGACTTCCAGAGATCCAGACCCCAAGATACTCAGAGACCTCCACAGAGACCCACATCCTGAGACTCTTCCAGAGGTCTCTATAGAGACCAACATCCAGAGATACCCACACCCAGAGTTCTCCAGAGACCTCTACAGAGGTATACACCAAGGTACCCAGAGACCTCCAGAGATCTCTACAGAAATGCATACGACAGACCCACCCAGAGGCTTATAGTGAGACCCACACCCAGAGAAACCTCCACAGAAACTCACACCCTGGACTCCCCAGAGAGTTTCACAGAGACCCACACCAAGACTCTCCAAAGATACCCAGAGACCTCCACAGAGACCCAAAACCAAAGATCTCCACAGAACTCCAGACTTACACCAAGTGACCTTCCAGAGGCCTCCACAGAGACCAACATTCACAGATTCACCAGACCTTTATGGAGACCCACTCCTAGAGACTTCTCTGAGATCTCTACAGAGACCTCTGGCAGTGACTCATAACCAGAGAACCCCCCAGATCTCAAAAGTGACCTCACCCTCCCAGATATCTCCATAGAGACTCATATCCAGAGACTCCCTGAAATTTCTACTGAGTCATTAGCCAAACTGGACCACTCACATTAGCCTCAGACATGCCTCTGCCCATTAACTAGTGGCATTGTTTCCCTTTTTTTGAAAGGTTTATGCTATAGGGCACATGAGCTCACCTGAAAGAGAGACAGCAAGAAATCATCCCCCAGGGGCGATGGCCATGCCACAATCTCTTCTCCTCCACTCTCCTCTTGGGATCTTGGGCACACACGCACACATGCCCAGTGTGAGTTTAAGCCACTGGGTCTGGGACTCGAACCATGGTTGACTGCATGGGAATCCAGCAACGCAGCCATTACACCAACTGCTGGTCCTAGTAGTGGCATTCTTTCTGTGTTGAGTGCCTCTGTGCTTTTCTACCCATTAGAGTCATACTCAAATTTGAAAGTCTAAAGTGTCACTTCTCACTTCTTCCAGGTAATTTTCTTTTCTTTTTCTTTTTTTTTCCCCTATAGGGTGGTCATTGGAAAGACAGAGAGAGAAAGGAGAAAGGAAGAAAGAGAAAGAGAGAAAGGAAGAAATCACCTCTCAAGGGGGATGGCCATGCTGCAGTCCCTTCTCCTCCATTCTCCTTTTGGGATTTTGGGCATGTACACACATGCGCCCAGTGTGAGGTTCAAGTCCCAGGTCCAGGACTTGAACCACAGTTGACTATGGGGGAGTCCAGCAACTTAACCACTACACCACCTGCTGGTCCCAAGGTAATTTTTTCTTTAAGCTTCCTTGGGTTTAGAACCATACCAGTTTGTATGGAATTATTATATTAGACTTACTGCAGTTACTTCTGATGTTTATTTCTGCTAATATTCTTTTGAAGTCCTGGATTGGGGGGTGTTTATCTCTGCATTTAAGGTGTCCTGCAGAGAACAGACACAGGCTCAGAGTGTTGCAAAATCTGAGAAGAGTCCTGAACTGAGCTGGAGAATCACTGAGAGATGCAAGAGAAGGGGTGTTCTATAATAGCAGATTGTCAGCTAACAAACTGGCCCTACATCACTGCCTTCCATATCACATTCTACTGGTGCACTTAAGAAATGCACCGTCTTGGGAACCAGCAGTTAGCGTAATGGCTATGTCGCTGGACTCCCACGTAGTCGACCGCGGTTCGCGTCCCGGACCCGGTGGCTTAGAACTCACGCCGGGCGCGTGTGCGTGCGTGCCCAGGATCCCGAGAGGAGAATGGAGGAGAAGGGATTGCGGCGTGACCATCCCCCCTGGGGGGTGATTTCTCGCTTTCTGTCTCTATGTCTCTCTCTGTCTGTCTGGCGAGCGCACGCGCCCTACAGTGAAAATCTCTCCAAAAAAAA